AAACAAAGACAAATGAAAAAGAATTTTGTTTATATTAAGATCAGAGCGATTACATCAGCTGACCCTATCTCGGTATGAACTCGAGCTCATAAAAATAAGGAATGGAATAAATAACTAGATCATGAAATTTAGTCCAACAATGATCAATAAGCTTTTGTTCTTTCCTTATTCTATCTTCTAAATTTTCTAGCATTGGCTGCATAAGTTGATGTGCTCTCACTTCATAGTAGAGCTCTTCAGCCTTTATTTCGAAAGCCACCTCTCTTAATCCTTGTTCCAATTCATCAATGTCTAAGTCATCCCAATACGCAGAATCTTTATTCTTGAAATCATTGAATTCTTCAATAAAGTTCTCTGCTTCGTACTGAGCATGAATTCGAAGGGACGAAAGTTGGTCTAAAGATTGTGTAGTAGCCATAGAATTTCGATGCCAGTAAAGGAGCAATGGAGTTGGTCCAGAAACATATGAAGTTTTGCCTGAGCAAGGGGATTAAGGACATGGCCCCTAGTCAGAAGGAGCAATGGAAGTTGGTCCAGAAACATATGAAGTTCTGCCTGTGCAAGGGGATTAAGGACATGGCCCCTAGTCATGATATCACAAGCCCATCGAAGGTTCTTGAAAGGGACTTCGTCCTCGAGTACATTAAAAGGCAAGTGAGAGAAGGCTGCAAGCAGAAGTTGAGCCTGTTTCTGCTCAGCTGGGGTAGGAGGAGGCAGAGGTTTATAAGGTGAAAAGACATTCTCCATGGATAGGGCAATCTTCAGTTTCTCTGTCCAGGAAAGAATTGGTAGGGGAGAAGGTTATGCATACTTTCAATTTCCGGAGACGAAGAAGAAGGTTGTGGACTGCTTCTGTTTTGCGAGGATGATACGGGAGCAGAAGGAACAAAGGGCATTAATATAATCAAGCCAGTCAGAAGAACAAATCTTCGCCTTCTGGGCTAAGAATGATGGGTTATACCCTTGGTCTTCTTCTGGGCGAGGGGCAGAGTGCACTATCTTATTAGGCATGGAAGATGTATACCGATGCTACAAGAAGATTCTCCTCCAGACTACGCGGATGGTCCAATGGGCACATAAGGATAAACAAGCGACTTCGAGTATAGGGAAGGAAACTCTAAAGGGTCAGCTGAAACTAACAAAATGGTGGTTGATTCGCATCCTTCAAACATAAGTCTCAGGTAACTGACCAGCTGTTGCCAGTGCAGAACTCCAGAAGAAGGAAGAAGTTGCATGCTTTTATCCCATCTACAGAAATTTGCGAAGAAGAGTTGCTCAAATCCATATTTGCAATTTTTCGAATCAAAGGTTTGAGAGCAGATTGTTCGAACTGTAAAGGGTAAGTAGAGGGGAAAATTTTTATGTCTAATGTTTGTAGCCTTCTGAATCGAAGGATTAAGAGCAATATGTTCGTAATCCAAAGGTCGGTAATTTGCAAAGGCTCCATGGACCTGAATATAGGAAAGGTGGGTAAAGGTTGGCTAATAAATGCATGCTATTCGATGAGACAATTAGCATCGACAATATGCTCTTCGTATGCTTACATACACTGGAGAAAGAATATATGGCATAGAATGGTATCAGTCTGTTCGAATATAAGACAGTGAAAGAATTTAAAGGACAAGACAGAGAGTATTAATTACAGATGTATGTGACAGTGCATTCTTCGGAAGATGCAAAAACCCATGCACGTTCTAAGACGTGGGAAAAGGGATCTGATCCAACTAATATCACCAAGTCTTGGGTATATTAGTGCGGGGGGAATGTTGGCTACACATTTTTGTTGCTAGCCCAGTGACATTCGACGCGTTGCAAAGTAAGGGTAATATGGGGAGACCAGGTAGGTCTTTCGTCCTGATTATACACGTGGCAGTTAATATTGGTTGTTATAAGATCTGAGTAGTAGCGGATCAACAAAGAGATGTACGGTGACGTGGCTTCAACGGTTGCTCACATTCAAATTCGAATATAAGGGGGAAGCCTAACTGCAAGTGAAGGCGTAGTGGAACTACTTATAAGGTAGCATGATCAGCGATTACGGAGGAGCAGTTCGACGGTTTGAAGTACAATTCGATGGTTATCTTCGGAAAGTATAAATAGCAGGAAGGACTTCAGAGAAGGGGACGAAGAAAAGATCTGAAGAATTACTTTACATATTCCAGTGTTATTTCCTGTCCTTTATATTTCTGTACTTTAAGTTCCTGCGCTGCACTTCATTTGTAGGAGTAGTTTTCGAGTATATTGCCGCTGTAATTCTCTACGGAACTAAGATCATTGTAAGTTTTTCATACTAATGAAATGCTTCAGTTTATTTAACTGTTCTTATGCTCAAGTTCTCTGAAGTCAAATTACCAGTAAGCCACCAGTAAAAGTCCTCTTTATTGAGGCCAAAAGAACCATAACACAATCGTCTGAATAATTGTTTGGCGATTATAGTTCTGTAAGGACTGATTGATCCTTGCTGGCATGCTCATAATTATAAAAGTAACCTTCGAAAGCCAAAAAGCCAACAATTATGTCAACTCAATGAAATTGGTAACATTGATTAAAAAATCAAAGGTATAATGATCCATTCAAAAGGAAATTGATGATTTGAAATTGGATGTGAACTTTTCAATCATTTTAAGAAAAATAAATGGGCTATTTTATATGCTGATTTAGTTTAATTTTTAATGACGTGTTATCAATTGAATTGAATTAACATAATTTAAAAAATTCAAGAATAAAATTGACATAATTAAAAGGGCGAATTACACCAACAGTTTTTATAGTTTGGAACTCGTGTTATTTTTGTCTCTGATTTTTCAATTGTAACACATGACTCTAAATTTTGAATCTTGTTCTAAATAAGGACAATTGAAAATACTATTGCTCAATTTTAAGGACAAAGTCATTAGTTTGATAAAATATAAACTAATTTAACAAAAATAAATATTAAAAAATATTTTTGAATTTTAAAAAATAATTTATACCCACCAAAGATAATATGTAAAATTGAAAAATCTTTTAGACATTTATTTATTTTATCAAATTAATTTTTATTACGTGTTTGGAAGATGATCATATAATGGACGATTGTTAAGATTTTAATATGTAATCGATATATTTAATATATAAAATGTTTTTAGTTTTAGACTTTTTGATTTAATGGATTGGTTTAATAATGATATCAAAGTTTTCGCCGTATTTAACTTTTGAAAAAATAGAAACTAATTTAATGAAAATAAAAACAATCACCTATTACATGATAATCATCCAAACACATAATAAAAATTAGTTTGATCAAATAAATAAATAAATAAATATCCAAAAAAATTATTAATTTCACATAATTTTATCTTTAGTGGATAGAAATAATTTTTAAAAATTTAAAAATATTTTTTTGACATTTATTTTTGTCAAATTAGTTTATATTTTATCAAATCGACAACTTTACCCTTAAAATTGGGCAATAGTATCTCAATTGTTCTTATTTAGAATAAAATTTAAAATTTAAAATCAAATATATCACAATTGAAATTGAAAAGTTTATAATTAAAATGACACAAAACCTAAATTGTAGGGATGTTAGTGTAATTCACCCTAATTAAAACTACACAACTATAATTACAAGTGTCAAACTGATACAAGGGACAAACTACAGGATTATGGCCTCGTTTGTTTTCCTCGTTCATAGTCCAGAGTGGACTATGAATGATGAACAGTGTATATACCTCCTGTTTGTTTTGACAATGTACATCGGAGTCATAGTCTGAACGGACTATGAATCCCCTCAAACCAACGGATTAACAATTCCTCCTGAGATTGGGACTTGGTATTGGAAAAAGAAGCCCTTGGGATTACAATGTAAATGACTATACTATCCACCATATCATCAAACAAAGAAAACAGATCCCTCCTCCAAATCTTTATCCACACTCAAAAAAATTCAAAAAAGATCATGAAACAAAAATAATTTTTTTTGAAAAATTTCCAAAACAGATCATCAAACAAAAAAAAAAATTCAACTGCTTTAAATTTTTTTGAACAAATTTCCAAAATTACAAATATAAAAAAATAATAACAAAAAAGTTCAACAAATTCACAAAATCATCAAACAAGTTCTCAAAATCAACAAAATAATAATCAGAAATCAACAAAATCACCAAGAGAGAAGAGAGAGAGAGAGAGAGGCACGTGAGGTAGACAGACAAAGAAACCATTGGTGAACTCATGGCAAAGCTTGAAGTTGTGATCATCAATCACCAACAGATCATCAATCAGCTTGAAGTTGTGATCATCAATGGCAAAGCTTGAGCAAGAGAGAGACACGTGAGGTAGAGAGAGAGAGGCAGATAGCAGGATTTTTGCACAAGAAGGCCAAGTCCACAATGAGATTTTCCTGGGTGAACTCACAGAGGCAACACGTTTTGATAAAGGGAGATGCTAGAGAGCTCTAAATCTAGAGCTCTAATTTGAGCTCTAGTGATGTGTCCAAGCAATAAAAAAAAAAAAAAAAACAAGCTAATTGGAAACAACAAGGCGACATCTACAACTCAGATTTATGTTCTCCATATCTATTACAATTTGTCTCATTTTCATCAACATCAACACAAGAAAAAAAAGAAGAAAAAAAAGAGAGAGTATCTGTTGCAATATTCATCATCATCAACAGCAACAAAAAATGATCTAAACTTACATAATAATAATAATTAAAAAAAAGAACTTGAGAAGATCGAAAATAAACAGATCAAATTTTTGAACAAATCACAACCTTAATTATATGATTTTAATTATAATTTTTGAATAGTTTAATTAGGTAATGCATTTATTAGTTGGTATAAGTTTAAATTTAATAGTAATACAATAAGGGTATTTTTATAATTTTACATGATTAATCACATTCATATCTCTCAAAACAAACATGAACTATTACCAGGCCACTAGTTATCAAACAAACACATTTTTCTTAATCCCTTTACTAACAGTCCCCTCACTATTAATCCCTTCACTATGAATCCTCTTATTCTATCTTTGAAAACAAAGAGGGCCTATGGGTGTAATTTATCATCGTCACTTGGAAAACTTATTCAAACTAGGAAAAGGAGAAAAAATAAGGAAATAAAAGACATTTAACTCTCGTTTTGGCATGAGACTTTTTTTGAGGTTGAGAGCTAATGAACTTTTTAATCTTAGACTGAAATAACCAAAAAATCAAAAAGTTATAAACCCAACTCCCTTCCCAAACAAAGCATTAGTTTCATGAATAGCAATGTTATGTATTCAACTGTATCAATAAATCACATTTATTTGCAAGGTGACCCACGTCACAGCAACTTAAATCTATACCATATGCTTAACTTTTGTACCTAGCATTTTTCTTTCATGAAAACAAGTCAAAATTCTAGGATCAATTTTTTTTGAAAAAGATCAATCAAAACTGAACTTATCTTATTGGAAATTCAAAAAAAAAAAAATTAAAAAAATCCATGATTGAATTATCAAAACTCACGAAACTCGTTCATGGCATCCAAGGTAGAAGTTGGTGAGATAGCGCTTCTCATATTAGGGATCAAAATCAAAGAGTCTGCATAATTGTTGTAAAATTGCTGAGATGGGCACAAGAAATCACTAGAATTCGGCGTAAACAATGGGATGTTGTTGAAACAAGGATTTGGCGGTTCAAAATTCGTCCTCCTTGTCGCTGTTGTCGTCGATTGAATCCCAAAACATGAATTTATTTGCAAATTACTAGTGCAATTATCGTCAGTAATTGCTGACGACGACTCGTTGTCGTCGTTGGCTGTCACCGATATCTTGTGATGATTTTCCCTTTTCAAAGAAGCGGCGGCCCCACTACCCGGGTCTTGTTTAGGCCGAGGTGGTGGGTCATCATCGGAGCGAGAGAGACCGGTGAGTTTTTGAACCAATGCCATGAAGTCACGAGGGTTGGTGTGGATGATTTTGGGAGAATGGGTGTAGATGATCACCGGGTGGCGGTGTTGAGGTTTTGTGGTGGCAGCAAGGACGGCGGTGGCGAGAGATGAGGCGGATGAGGAGAAGGAGGAAGGTGGTGATGGGGATTTTTTGATGAAACGGGAGTCTTTGTTGATTTTGAGAGGAGATGGAGACATGGGATTGTTGATGTTTATTGTTGTTTCTCTCTTTGCATGGTGGTTGTGGATGTGGTGATGGTGATCATGGAATTGTGTAGGACTCATGGTGATCTTGAGTCTCTCTCTCTTCCTCTTTCTCTAGTTGCACCAACCCTAACAAGTTTATGTATGTTGGAGATATATATCAATCTGTGTTGTATGGGAATACAAGGGTGAATGTGAAAGAAGAGATAGGTGGGTGGTGAAAGATAAGGGGCTAGATATATACAGGGAGGGGGGCAATCATGTGCAAGTAGTCACAAAATGTAAAATGATATGTGGATGTTTCGAGATTTATTATTTTATATTAAAAAGTTTATTTAAATAATTTATAAAAATGTCATTATCATATTATTTTTATGTATGAATAGTATTTTTTTTTTATATTGGAATTAGACTTTCTTTTAACTTAGGTCTCATTTGGCAACTTTGTGTTTTAGTCAAAAAATTATTATAAGTTGTCACATCAATCTTCTTATTTTTCTACACATCTTTTTATAAAAATTTAAAAAACTACTAAAATAGTGTGTTTCCCAACGAGTCCTCATTATTATTATTTTCACATCACTCTTCTTATTTTTCTACACATTTTTTTGTAAAAATTTAAAAAATTACTAAAATAACCTATTTCCCAACGAGTCCTCCTTATTATTATTTTCACATCACTCTTCTTATTTTTCTACACTTTTTTTGTAAAAATTTAAAAAATTACTAAAATAGCCTATTTCCCAACGAGTCCTCATTATTATTATTTTCAGTTTGTTGTTGTCTATAGTAAATATTTTAAAAAATTGTGTTAATTTTTTTTTTTGTTTTTGTTTTTTTTGTTTGTTTTTTATATTTCAAGTTTACCTAAGACTAGATGACCATGAAAACATAAATTAAAAAAACCATTAAAAATAAAAATTTGTTAAATTTTACTATGAAAACTAGTCAAAGTTGGCTTCTTTTTTTATTTTTTTTGGTTATTCTCAACTTTTAACAATATTTTTTAATCGTTAAAAAAAAAAATAGGATGGTTCAAATGGTATAAAAAAAAGTAACATATATCTTAACTAAAAATTAAAAAAGTTAAACTTAAAACAAAAATAGTGTAAAAATAGCACAACTTATAAGTTGTATTGTAGTACAAACCAAAAGAGCCTCGTGTAGGTACGAATCTCATGTTGACGCGCAAGGCAAGAGGAAGGCAGTTTGGTCATTATTTAAAAAAATTTATTTCATAATACAAATTTATTATACACATAAATCCCATATTATATAAATTAACTTTCTCCATATAATTATTCACCTAAAGATTTTTTTGAGTAAATTAATCGGGGTCAATAGCTCTTCTCTATGAATTTTCCAATGTGATAAAGGTTACTGTCAGAGGAGAAGACGAGTCGAGTGACCAATGGGGGATGAGACGAGGGTATACGTGTTTGAATCTGAATGGTTATAGGAAAACTGTTTGGAGGTTGGGATCGGGTGTGTCCACCGCAGCATATTTCTAGGCTAATTTGGTGGGAAAACGAGGTTTCGGAGTTTCTGAGAAGAAGGAAAGTGCTGTTTATGGTCACGCGAACTCCACGTGCCAGCCCTTAACGGTCACAACCAATTTTTGTTTGACATATGGGTTGGCATTTTTTCACGTTATGAGCAAATAATCACGGTTATTATTATTATTATTATTACAGAAAATATTACCCAAAAAAAAAAATCTTATAATTATAATTTTGTCAATGTAAATTCTAATTTTTCTTTTAATTTTATTTTCAATCTAAACAATTTATTTACTTTTATTAGGTAAAATTGACAAAAAAAAAATAATATTTTTGCTAATTAACTTAATGAAAAATAATATTTTAGACATCTTCTGCACACCTACATTAAATATAATGACTAAAATTTTATTTTTTTAGTTAGTTTTACTTAACGAAAATAAGTTAATAATGTAGATTGAAAACAAATTAAAATATTAGAATTTGAATTGATAAAATTAAAATTTTGTTTTATTATAAAGATTAAATTCTGATTTTTTTTTTTTTTGTAATTGTCTTTTATTTTTCTCATGCAGTTGAATGGTGTGTGGTATAGGTTTTTAATTATTTTTTATTTTTAAGATTATAGGATATTAATTTGTTAGTAAAGTTTGTGGGGGGTTCAAGGTTAAGAAAGTGATTAGAGAGGCAAAACTATGTTAAAGATACAACAATGGTGAAATGACTGGAGGATAAGCAGCAGCAACTATCTGGGAGGTTGGAGAGTGAGTAACTAGGTGAGGGTGAAACAAGTAACTTAAGAAGAAATGTATGATAATGCCAAAATGGGCAGCATCTTCTCTAAATCCCCTAAAAATCATCATCTCTTGGGCTGGGAAATGAGTCTTATTTATAGGCTTTTTCTTAGTACCAAAAGGATACCAAGTGACCAAATAGAGAGAAAACATGTGTCCTAGAGGTTCACATGGAATATTCTGCCTTGAGCCACCAGGCTGAATGTGCCACATGTCCCTCTACATGTACTGTGTACTATCTGTTTGCCTCTGCAACTATCTTTTTGAGCCTCAGCAAGTGTAGTTGTGATGGGAGTGTTTGGCGCCGCAACTCCCTTTTGAGCCTCAACAAGTGCACTTGCGGCAGTAGTGTTTGCCACTGCGCTTGCTTTCTCAGCTTGAATCTCAGCAAGTGCACTTGCAGCGGTAAACCTTGTTGTTGCACTTGCTTTCTCAATTCAAACCTTAGCAAGTACACTTGCAGCAGTAAGCCTTACGGCTGCACTTGCCTTCTCAGTTTCATTTAGCCAGTACATGCATTCTCAGGACTTCATAGCCAACTATCAGCCATGTTTTTGTGTTCATGTCAGCGAAGCCTCCACCCTTAGCTACCTAACCACAAACTCTCCAGCTTCCCAAGGCGAAGGCCACAGCCAAGCCTGCAATCAGCCATGGTGTACCTTAATACCAAACCCAAGGGAGCTTCCTTGGTCCTGCCTGTGCAACCAAGGCAGGTCCATGACCTGGGTAAATAGAAAGGGAGTCTCTTGCGCTTGAGTTGCCTTGCTCCCATCTTCGTGGGGTTGTTGCAGTATACTGGTATCTTTGGGCCTGCTATCAGCTTCAACCAGTAAGCGTTAAGGTTTGCTATCAGCTCCAACTAGTAAGTGTTGAGGTCTGCTATCAGCACCAAGCTAGTGAGCTTCGGGGCCTATTATCAGCGCCGAAAAATGACTTTAGGGACTTGCCATCAGCCTTAGGCTAGTAATGCCTTGGGGCCTACTATCAATGCCAAGTATTAGCCTCTACTTGTGGAAGGGAAGCTTTTCCCAAAAGCTGCTATCACCTTGGTGGGGTGTTCCTTCCGCAAGTTAGTTGTTACGGCTGTAGTTGCTATAATAGTCATTTCCCGTGGCAAGTTCAAATGGAAGAACCGACAATATTGGAGATGGGGGCACTGAGGCGTAGTGCCTCCGTAACTTGGCCTCTACAACTTGGTCATTGCAAGTGTCGCCTCTACAACTTAGTTGCGTCGGCTTCCTTTTTCCCTTAGCAACTTCAGATGGCGGCAGAACCGACAATGCTTGGAATGGTGACACTAACGGCGCAGAGACAAAGTGCATTTGCAACTTGGCCGTCGCAAGTGTTACCTCTGCAACTTAATTGCGTCGGCTTTTTCTTTCCCTCAGTAACTTCAGATGGTAGCGGAACCGACAATACTTAGAATGGCGGTGCTGAGACAAAGTGTCTCTGCAACTTGGTCGTCGTAAGTGTTGCCTCTGCAACTTAGTTGCGTCGGCTTTCTCTTTCCCTTAGCAACTTTGGATGAGAACTGACAATATCGCAAATGGCGGCGCTGAGGCAAAATGCCTCTACAACTTGGCTGTCGCAAGTGTTGCCTTTGTAACTTGACCGTTGCAAGTGTTGCCTCTGTGACTTCACTTAGGCATTTTCTTTCGTGGAGTCTATTTGGACCCTTGGCGGGTTGGACCTGCTTTGGCCCACTATTGGCTCACTTTCCTTGGGCTTTAGCCAATGCTTTTTTAATCATTCCTAGTCACCTAACAGAGGTGACCTCCGCACTTAGGTCCATACTTAATTTGAACTTTAATTTCTGACCCTCTACATTTGCCCCTTGCGCTATTAGAAAATATGTGTTTTTCTGCGCGTGCATAATGTTAGGCTTTAAGTGAACCTTACCAGTAATGTTTCTTCACTTAGTACTCCTTTAACTTTGGTTGCATAAATGTGTCTTTCTTTGTCTAGGGTTTGTTCATCTCAGAGAGGGACAATGTCTCTACTATTACTCCCATAGGCTCAGGTAGCTTATCTAGTATTGAGGGGCTTTCTTCAGACTTCAATGATGGTGATGATATACCTCTTGGCTTGCTACTTCATCGGTCCAAAACTCAAAGCATAATGATTTTTAGCACCGAAAGGGATAATAATACTGGTCATAAGGATCTTCCCTAATGAAGATGTAGAGGTAGTCAAAGGTGGTGGTGGAGACTTTGTTCTTAGGACCCATAGAGCTGATCATAGGCTGAACAAATCTCTTGGGTTGGAATCGCTCAATGTAGAGGTTGTTTATGGGTTCTTCTCTTGCCTAGTCTCCACTAGTTCCACATTCTGAGGTTGTTGGTACCTAAATTGCTGCAAAAGTTAAAAACATTGCTATTGAGATTAGTATTGCCAATCTAGGCTTGGCTCGCCTGGCGGAGTTGGCTATGAACTTAGAGGCTGCTGCTACTACCGTTGAAACTTTTGATCCCATTACCTCTGCAACTTCTGCGTCGTATACTGGTGTCTCTGGGCCTATTATTAGCTCCAACCAGTGAGCTTTAGGACCTGATATCAGTGCCAAACTAGTGAGCTTCGGGGCCTGCTATCAGTGTCGAACTAAATATGACTTTAGGGGTTTGCTATTAGCGCCAAGCATTAGCCTCTACTTGTGGTGGGAAAACTTCTCCAAAGGCTGTCATCGCCTTGGTAGGGTGTTCCCTCCGCAAGTTAGTTCCAACGGCTGCAGTTGCTGTGACAGTCATTTCCCTTTTGTAACTTCTAAACAAGTTGTTGACTTGTACATTACTTACTTCCCTGAGTTATCCTCTTAACTTGTGTGTCAAGACTTTTTTGTTGGTCTGAATGTGGATGATCTTGTCTTGCACTATGAGGAGCTTGGTGATAGGCTTC